TCTATTTCTTGTTTTATTAAATTGACATATTATTATAATTTGATTAACGTGCTTTGAATGTGATTAATGACATACTTGAACCAACATTTTACGTTTAAATTGATGACTAAATTGATGAAGGTACCTGATTAATAAAATACTGATACATTAAGGATTCAATTAGAACCTTTTGAAGTTTAGGGATGATTTAAAATAAAGAATAATTGAAGAATGCTTGATAGCATTAACCCTAAAATGGATGAAGGGAAAATCCAAGTAGCTCCTTTTTGTTCCACGTCCTAATCCTCCCCCATTGTTATCTCCACCCCAAGCCAAATTTGCTCATCACATCTTAATATAAGGAAAAAATAAGAGAAAATCGAGCTTTGGTTTTGTCCCATTTTGATGACTTGAAAAATAATTATTACTCGCAGTAGCTCTAGTACCAGTATTAATTTAATATTATTATTATTATTAATTATTTTTATTTCTATAATTAAACTCTTTTCATTTTCATTTTAATTCCATTAGACCATTTCAACTGAAATCCTTGTGTTTATTATGCTTATTCATTGTAGTACAGTATTATATTTTATTGACTCTCTCAGCTTTACTTAACCAGGGGCTCAGGGTTTATTAATGGACATATGCATATAATAACTTGTTAAACTTCAAAGAAATTTTCAGTTTTTTTTAAAAGCACGAATCAATTTACCTCGGTAATTAAAGAATTGTTTATGTTCCTAGAAGTCACAGGTTCAAGCGCCAGCGATTGTAGCAGGGTGATTGAACATTCATTGTCAAATGGTTAAGAGTATTTAGAACAGATACTATTTTACGATCACCTTAGTTTAATAAAAAACATTTTTTAATTTTTTTTCTACGATTATGATATTAATGTGTTAATTAAAGCATGGTTGGTTCATATTTGACTTATTCCTTGCGTTGGGAGATCTGGATTATGAAGCCTTGGCCTTGCTTGACCATGTCAAATACAGCGTTTAATTACGATATCAGACAGATAAGCAATGGTTTGTATACATTTTGGTTAAAGTTTTCAGGGTGGAGAAATGAATTTTCAACAGTTTGTGGGAGCTAATTCCATCTTTCTTGTTTGATTAAAATGGGACGATTATAAGGCAGTATTTGTCTGAAAGATTCTCGATTATTTAACAATAAACGTTCATATACTCTTATAGATCTCGTGCTCGAACCCAAAATCTTAAAAAATAACAATCATTCCTTAGCCACTAATAGAGTTGTCTCAGATATTTTCGGGGCCCTGAGCGAAACTAAAATATTGACCCTTACAAAACGAAAGTGTATTCTATTACTTTAAACAATTAGTTTAATATTACATTAATAAATTATAGAAAAATGATTAAAACAGTGGCTTAAAGTAAAAGGTATGATTGAAAAATTATGTACCTCAATTATAAAGGAAAATAGTGAGATTAAAAAATTAGGGTCACAATTTTAAAAGTATAAAGTGAATGAAAAAAATTAAGGGCGTAAATTATGTAAGTAAATAATGAGATAGAAAAAAATTATGGGTGTCAATTATATCCTATGCTATCAGGTTCATTTATATCTTTAAAGTGGGTTTGGATGTTTAAAGTTAATGTTTGATTATTTAAAATAATGTAATTATTTTTATTTAGACTAATTAAAATATTTAAGGGTTAACTACACATTTGATCCTTTTTATTTACACATTCTCTCACTTTAGTCCTACTTTTAATAAATTAAAATAAATTTAATCCTCCAATCGAATGATGCCACATGTCCTACCATGTGTCACTATTCGGTTAGAAGACTAACTTTATTTTAATTTAATATATTTATTTCTACCAAACAAATAGTGACATGTGTCACCCTCTAGTTGCAAGAAAACAAAGGAAAGCAAATTGAGGCAAAAAAGGTTCAAACCTTGGTCACTTAGGAAACTAAACATGTATCAACCATTAAGCCAAATCTATTGCTTGGTTTAAAGTAGACAACATGGTATATATATTTTGTATCTTAGTGTATAAATACTTATATTCGTAATATTTCATATATATTAACTTATTAACTTAATTTAAAAATATTTTATTTTTATGTTCATTTAAAAATATATTTATATGTTAAAATTTATTTAAAAATATAATTAAATTGAGAGAATATGTAAATAACAGTGACCAAATGTGTGATTATACCAATTATCACGTCACATATTATGTTAATTGTTAACATCATTTAACCTATGATTACACACTTAATTATATCAAAAGTGATTAATTAATAAATGAAATATCTTATTTTTTTTAAATCAGTGACAAAAATGAATAAAACACCAACATAAGTGATAATGGGTGTAGTTAACCCTATATTTATAACACACAGACTAATTTTGTCTGGGTTCAATCTATTAGGCCCAAAAATGAAATTAAACACAATCAAAATTAAAAACCTAGCTTGATCCTAACACTAAGTCCAAATCCTCTTGCCAGAACAATATAATTTCCCTTAATATTTATACAAATAATCATTTTACTCATTTTTTTAGTATTTTACTTTCTAATATTTATTATTTTTATTAAAATAAACTCTGTTGAATGAAATCATTATTGAAAATATGTATTGTTAATGTAATATTTTCACATGTAATCAATTACTGAGATGATATATGCCACATCATCATTTTGAGTAACGTGACACATGCTACATCAACAATTGATTGAATATAAAATGATATATCAGTAACATGTGTTGATCATTAATTAATTAATGATTTTAATCCAACAATATATGTTTTGATAAAAAAAAATTGAAACATTAAAGGAAAAATATCCCAAAAAATAATAAAAGGTAAAGTAACCATTTATATAAATATTGAGAGAGCGTTTGGTTCACGGAATGTAAGATTACCTTTGGGAATAAGATTACTTGAATGTCCGAATGCTATATTACCTTGTTTGGTTTGTTTAGCAAGAATATAAATTATTATATTTGATTGGAGGGATATAATATCAATAGGATGTGTATTTTACCAAGTTATCCCCATGATATATGTTTTTTTTAGACAAGTTAAACTTTAATATTAAATTATAAACATTTGAATGAAAATTCATAAAAAATATTTTCATTGTTAGAGTATCTAACTTTTGAGAAAAAATATATATTTAACATATAATTAATATAATTAGAATATCAAACATATTTTTAAATAATTTCATAAGTCATTTATTTATGTAAATATAATATAATATGAAAAAATATTATGATCTCAAGCAAACAAAGATATTATTTTTCAATGCATAAGATTTATTTTTAATAACTCAATGTAAGATATTATTTTAAATAATTACATATTTTATAATAATATCATTTTCACCTCGAAAAATTATAAATAATTAATATATAAATATTTAAAATATAAAATAATTTTAATTATTCAAATTTATTGGTATTTTATTAAATCAAACTTTATATATATTATTATGATGTTTATAATTTTAAGTAAAACGTGAAGAATAGAATTAAAAAAGATATGTATAAAAAACTCATTATTTTTAGCATTTTCTTGTAACATTCTCACTATTTTAACCAAAAACTACTAGTAGTAATAATTATTACCTGATAATAATAATTTTTCCCATGAATTATATGTGAGAATACAATTCCAGAAAATATTATTCTCTGATAATGATATTTTTCACAGACCAACGCCTTTCAAAGGATAATTGTGTTATCATATCAATCTTAGAGAGTTTATTTTCTTGAGAGTCTGGCAACATAATTAAAAATAGATTATCTTAGAAAAAAAAAGTGTTGATCTATTATTGATTGTTAAAAATAAAAAAAGAAAGTTGTAATAAAGTATTGAGAGGGGGGATTACAAAAAACAAAAAAGATGAAAAGAAACATAAACAGGCGAGGCAATCATATGGACCCTGCCATAAGCAGAAAACACATCATTTCCTATACAAAGGATTAAAATGTTCATCATGCATCAAGTAATTCATGTTGCCGTCAGACGAGACGCTCTACGACAGCAGCGGCAAGAAGGCTTCACGAATAAATCGTTCTATATAATCCTAAACACACACTTATAGGCAAGCGGGGTCGATTAAAAGTGATAAATATGAATCAAAATGAGAGTTCATCAGGAGCTTTACACGTGTGAACTTGGATTCCACTTTGTAATTTAGCCCCAAGAACACTTGAGCAAGGGTGGAAATGTAATAACAAACACATAAATGCAGCTGGCACCTTAGCTAAGAGGTTCAAAAGCCACTAAAGATTGGGATAAATTAGGGTTCTGCTCCACTTGAGCTCAAATACAGGCTTGAGATCGCTGATGAATGAAGTCAAGCTTGAGATAGTATAGGCTTTTTAGTAAACCTACTTAATCAAGCTTATTAACGGGCCAAACACGAGAGAGCTCAGCTTGAATTATCGCCATATTCCTCAAAAGATATGATAAAGAGCACATAGGTTAGCTCATTAACGAGTCATGCAATTGAAGCTCTTGCCATCTTTAGTCAAGCAAGTCCCATTAAACAAGTCCTATTCGTATCAAACCTAATAATAGTGTCCTATAAGAGGGAAAGGGAGAAAAATATCGCATAATCAGTGGCTAGCTCAAACACAAGAATAAATGTCCCTGAACCACGTAAAACAAACATCTTCTAACAGAAGAAAAGGAATTCAAGTCCCGACAATAATTTGATCGTAGTCCAAACCTAAGATATAAATGGTTTAATCACCCAAATCCCACAATTGTAACCTTGTGACAGGAAATGCTCCTGGGGATTCCATTTCTATCTAAAACTATGTGCAGATTTAGGTGAAATTTTAGCAAATAATATGAAATAAAAAGCATGGAAAAGCTCATGATTCTATCGTACTAAAGAGTAAAGCCGGCTATGAATGCACATATCGACTATCTATGGTAGGAGAGAAACATGCAACTACATGGACGAGGAAAGGGTAGACAAGAGCAAGCTTTACTTTAAGGGATACTATGCCCAGTGAGGGATGGGACATCAAGTTCTAGAAAATGTGCTGATAATCATGTAAATAACCAAGTATGCACTTCCTGGGGTAAAAGGATTGCTGTATAGGCATAAGAGAGTTTTAGGGTTTGCTTATAAGAAAGATGTAAATTGTAGCAGTTTTTGCCTCTTGGATGAATTAAAAATATTACTTATCCAAAGAGAGAAAAAAAGAACTAACTAGATTATTTATTATCCATTCCCAAATATTACATGAAAGAACTGAGTACAAGTCTAAGAAAGTAAGAATATAAAATGTTAAATCTAACACGAGAAGAAAAACAAATGCATCTTCAGCATTCTGAGATGAAATCTACACCAGAGTTGAGGATGGTGAACTAAATTGTGTAACCAATGGGCAGCAGAAAAACTTAGGACTATTTTATAAGATGTTCGGCGTAGGGAAAAATGCCAGTTATATGCAAAGAAGACCAAACGAGAACATAAGGCACTCTAAACATCGAAATATAGTATTCCCACAGTATGTTAACTCACAATCTAAATGTTCGAAATGCAGACCACAGCATGTTAACTCAAGAATCGCCCTTGATTTCGTCTGAATCCGAATCGCTTGCATTATAACCTAAGATACCCAGAGAAAACAGCAAAAGCAATCAAGTATAAATTATCAGTATTTAATCAAAAGGTGATGAAGATAATGATATTTACAGAGGTGAACCTGGACGCTTATCGCTGACTTTCCAAACAGAAGACCGAAGCCTCGATGCCCTTGTCATCCAAATTCTTCCCTGTAAATACCAAGCAAAACTTAGAAACAATTGGAAGCTTAATTGGAACAAACAAAATGAGAAATAAGATTAAGAATCCAAAACCTTGGAACCTAAGTAAATAAAAACAAAATGGAAATTTTTCGAAATTTAACGGTGTCAGAATAGCAAAGTATAAACCCTAAATCCCATAGGCGAAACCCAAACAAAATGAAGATAAAAAGGGGAGAAAACCACAACCTTTTGGGCATCTCGGGGAACACCATAACCGCTATAATACATTTGACTGACAAGGACCTGCATGTTAACATCACCTCCTTTGGCTTCTTTGAGAGTGTCTTTGAACCAACGCTTGAGGCAATCGGAGACAACCTCGGAGAGAGGCAGGCGTTGACTGGCGCTGGAGCACTCCATCTTCTTCCTAGGATTGGATTTGTCTTCGCTTATAATCCTCCGCGGCGTAGGAGGCGGCGGCGGCTGCGTTGGGATTTTAGCCTTTTTCGCTGCGTTGAAGGCGGTGACTTTTGCTAGCTGCTGAAGCTTGTTGGTTGCGCTGGACAGCGATTTTCCCATAAACCCAAGCACAAGAGGTGTGTCTTAATAACCAAGGCAAAATAAATTAACTTTTGGGACAAAGTACATCACAGGTGACTAACTATGTCATAATAATCTTTTTGATCATCTAACTTTCAAATGTCATAAAATGGTCATTGAAATTAACCATGAAAAGGACTGCAGTTATCATTAACTTGGTCATTGAAAGCTAGCTGCAAATATCATTCACACAATTCGAGTAGAAGTGAACAAAATTCGATCCAACTTGAAAAAGCTGATTTTTTTTAATTACACAAATCGAATCATTCGAGTCAATTCATTTTTTAATTTAAATTTTCTAGTTTGGTACCAGTTTGGATTTACCAATTTGAAAAATTGAAAAGCTGTATTTAATTATTTTACAATTTAATCATTGGTTTCTTTTTTTCTATAGCGAGATAGATGTCAAGGAAGCTTGAGCTGGGTCAATCCCTTCTATGCATGCATCAAGGACAGAGATGAACACAAGATTTATTTTATAATGGATATTTTTGGCTCTCTATGCTGCAAAAAAATTGCAGTAAATACCTATGATGGATCTTTTCCATGCCAGTTAGAAGCTATAATGAATGCTTAAGGTAAACATCTGCAAAACTGGAGAGAAATTGATAACTTGTGTTTAAAGGTGAAGTCTCAAGTCCTACTGTGCCTTTCTTCTTCCTCGTAATTAACCAAATCCAAACCATATCATCCCCCACCGTTACCGCTCCCGTTGGAAACACAACGAAAACAGCCATAGCCTTACACGGACAATCGATTTCGAGTATTACCAGACTTAGGCCAACAGATTGGTCGAAGGTCTATTCTTTGTTACTAATACTATGAACTGATTTTATTATAATTCAAAATTGTTGTATTTGGGATTCTGGATCAAGATTTTATGCAAGGAGTGCGAATTTAGAAAGCTACATTAGAAAATTAAGGAGTGAAAAAATAAAAAATTTAAGGGAGTTCAAAAATATAAGCAAAACATCAAAGCAGGCATCAATTCATTCATCCATGAATCAATTGTTAAGAGAAATCAAGACCATCAGGGTTGAATCTCCTACACTACTATATATATAATACTCATTGCAAGGTCAGGCTCCAATAGCCCAATGGGCTAACGGCGCCACAGACTCAAGCAAGGCAACTACTTTTATCACTATGCACTAGTACTACCATTTTATAAGAATAGGCATTTCTACAAACAGTTTGTGGGCTGAACAACACCAAGGGGAGTTCCACCAGCGTGCTTACATGAAGCTGCAGGTACCTCATTCTTGTCCGTAAGTGACACCCCTTGCAATCGAATCCCACTGCACGGATACTTAGAACTGCAATCGAAGTTTACGGCAACCTGCGTCGCCGACGTCCCGTGTATGTCTCGGTACGTCAAGTCGCTAACTTTGATTCCCGAAACCTGATCGGGACAGTTATTGTTGCCGGGGCAGTAGTTTTGGTCGATCACGATGGGGTTCTGCACGTTCTTCATGGTAACATGTTGGAAGACGATGTTCCGGGCAAAACCATTGCTGGGTCTGGCCCAAGATTTTATCCGCACACCGTTCAGGGTACCGATGAATGTGGCTGTTTTGATGGTCACATTCTGCACTCCGACCTCGTTCTGGTCCTTCCCCAAGTTCCCGATGCTATAAGCACGCAGTGTTATAGCAGAATATGCAGACAGTTTCTCTTATGTTGACGTTGATGGTGGTGGTGGTTTTTACCTGATGCCGTGACCGAGGCCACATGTGATTTGCTCCATCCAGAGATTAGTTGCGCCAGGGCCGACCGAGACACAATCATCGCCTGTTTGAATCTTGGAGTTGAGGATGGTCACGCCGCTCGATAATTGTACATGAATACCGTCGGTGTTGGGGCTATCACCGGAGGTGGTGACCGTCACTCCTTGCATTTTCACATTCTGGCATCCGTTGATGACGATGTGGAACATCTGGCTGTTTACCGATGTTAATCCGGCGACGACTATGTTCTTCGATTTGCTAAAGCTTAGTGACAGCATTCACAAATAAAACATAATGTAACCAAAATGTTTTACTTCAATTTTATATAATTTGACCACTTTACTATGCTTAAATTTGACATTTAGTCATTTTACTTCAATTTTATATAATTGATCATCTAGTATATTTTATAATATCATTAATTCTAATAACCATCATTATTAACTATTTTCATTAAAATGCTAACATGATATTTAGGTATTTAAAAAGATCTTTTACCAACCGGAGTTGATTTAAGTGGTAAGTAACTTGATTCTGCTTAAGCAAGGTCTCAGTTTCGAGTCCTTGTGTATGCAGAAAATCCCTGCTGGGAGACTCACCCACCAAAGTTAGGCGTGCGACACAGGTCGGTTCAGATTAGTTAGGATAAAGTCTTAACCGGGAGGGTAACAAAAAAAATTAATCTCTTTAAAGAATGAATATTGTGTAAGAATGAATATTTTTTAGAGAGAAAATGAATGTAAGAATTTTAATTAAATATTGTGTCATTCAATTATTTTCTTGGTTTTGTTTTAATTTCTCAGCTATTCTTTTTTTTCAAAATCATATAAATTTACATTTTTATTCTGTTTTAGTCTTCAACTGTTTAATAGTTAATAGTGATTTAATGTGTAACTATTAGATAAAGTCATATCATTATTGAAAAATAAAAATTATCATGTCCGTAATTATGTTTATTTTTAATTGCAGGCTACTGATGATTAAAACGGAACAAAAAAGTAAGTTTAGTCACGATTTTAAGAATGAAAAATAGTTGGTGATCAAAACAGAACCACGAGAATATTTGAATAACTAAATTCGTAGTTTACCCTATAATTTACCGATTCAATGTAACGGAAAAGAGATATCACGGCGGAGTTCAACTCACCGTCGCACCGCTGGGCAACTCTTGCCGGAGTTCTTGAAAGCCCACAAGGCAGTCCCCCTGGCATCAAGTTTTCCGCCAAAGATCAAGACTCCATCAACATCCTGAAACGCAACCCAGCTGTCGGCATTTCCGATAGCCCCATAATCCGCCGGAGCCACGAGGGTTCCGTCGATTCGTAACGAGATAGCTCTGTTCCTGCATCGTCACTGAAACTTCACCTTGCGTAGCAAAAACATCCCTCTGGGCACGTAGATGCTCGCGGGGCTCGTCGAGGCACAAGCCTGAGTCCATGCAGCTAAAGGCTTTGGTCGAGTCGGCTGAGCCGTCGGGTTTGGCACCGTAACTCAGCACGTTGAGTTTGATTACTGCACAAAAAGATGGGTTGATGAAGAGAAAGAGAAGTGGGAGAAAAAGGAGGGGACGAGTGGTCATCGTGTTGAAGAAGGAAGTAAACCGAGTGATGTAGTAGTGGTGATAATGGGAGTTGAAACGGTTTGAGTTTGAGTCGAGACTTGAGGGAGCGAATTATTTATATTCTCTTATCGTAATAAGTAATAATATTATGCTAAATAAAGTTATTACCGGTTTTGTTATTTTTTAATAAAATCGATAAAAAAAATTACATAAAATATTATTATTTATACATAAAATATTAATATTTTTTAACATTTCTGATAAAATGTCCAATAATAATAAAATCTGTAGAAAAAAATAACAAAATCAATAGCATTTTACCGGATATGTTAACAAAACTGGTAAAACGCCTAATAATAACAAAACCGATAGAAATAATAACGTTTCCGGTAATTTTTTTACCGATTTTATTAAAAATAAAATAAAATCGATAACACTTTTCTTTAGTTGTATACTAAAATTGTTGTACGTGAGACTTTTCCAACAATATACTTTGTATTAAATGGATTAATTAATGATTAGGATCATAATTAAGCAAGCTGCGCCGGAATAGATCTCCAAGAGTTATAATTGTTTCGGTTATTAATTTTAAAAATTGTAGAATAATTATTAAATTATCAGTGCAACAGTATAATAAATATAAAAATTTAAGGTAAATATAAATAGTCCCCAATTATAAAGTATTGCTTTGTCGAATCCTCTAAATATTAAAAGTTATAAAATGGTCCCTCAATTATAAAGTGTTGCTTTGTTGAGTCACTATATTTTTAAAAATTACAAAATTATCACCCAACTATTCATATGTTCCAAACTCTTCTTTTTTCGCTAAAAAATGTCGATCATATTAGCTAAACGTTAACATGCTAACTGGAATACGATTGTCTTTCGAGATTATAGGATCATGTTTTATCATATCTCAGTCAACAAGTTTTTATCCAACTCATATTGTAGTCATTTTTTAACGGAAAAAGGATAAGTTTGGAATATATGAATAGTCGGATGATCATTTTGTAACTTTTAAAGGATTCAACAGTGCAACACCATATAATCGGGAGACCATTTTATAACATTTAATAGTTGGATAACTCAACAAAACATCGCTCTACAGTTAAGACTCAAGAGACCATTTATGTATTTTATCCAAAAATTTAGTGAATTTAGTGAATTTTCTAGAATTCTTTATAAATATACGTACTAAAAAATTAAATTTTAAATATATTGAGTATCATTTTTGAACAATTTAATTGTATGTATGATCATATGAATTATTTGGATCCAAAAAAAAAAGCGTGAACATGATATTTTGATATGATACGATGAGAGCTTCCCATGAATGAAGAAAATTAATAAATTAAAAGATAATAAAAGGAGTGGTGTATATACGTACTAAAGTTTAAAATTTAAAAATTTGATAGTTGAAAATATAAACATACTAAAATATTAGTGATCACTAATATAGTTTACCATATTTTCAGTTTTTTCCCGAAAATTATAATCACTAATATAATTTTGGATGCTAATTTAAATTATAAAGTATATTTTATTTCTAGAACTTGTAATATTGTGGTACATATTTTCGCTAAGTGAGCTCTCCGTTCTGGAAATGTATTATGTTTTGACTCGGTTTGTCCCGAGATTATTACGTTTGTTATATCCAATAATTTTTTCTCTGGTAATACAAGATCCTAGGG